TGCGTTTTGTTTCGCTTTGATGCTCGCCCCCCTCTCCTTCACTATCCTCTCTAGCTTATTTTCTAACGAGCTAGTGAGGCTTGTAATTGTATTTTGAGAGAAGAAATAGACAGGCACACTTTGCCTAAACCGAAACGTGCGTCATTTCTATACAGAGATGTGAACCCACAAACAGACTGCATCTTGCAATGGGATAAGGGGACTTACACCCATTACGTTTGCCATAGATTCCCCAAATGGGAGAAGACATTCTGTTGCTTATAAATAGAACGGTTTTGATAATTGTGCTAAACTGTTGGCTTGTCTACAACCTGTCTGATCTTCTGACCATTTACTGATGGAAACTATGGCCAAAACCATTATTCCCCATATATATATTATTATTTCATACTTATTATTCACTATACTACCAATAACACTTTTTGTTTATTTCCCTTCACATCTGGGTTTGTATATGACGTAAAAGATATGAAAGAAACTCAAAATAAACTGCAGCTGTAGACTTGTTGCTTGATGTAGCATGTTTGACTGCTGGCTACCATTACAACCTCTCTTATGTACTTTAATCCTCGGCATTGAAGCTGCATTAATTGTTTTTTTTGGCCAATTGAGGGCAGCAGAGAAACCTCTAAACACAATACTGACATATTGTAACTTTAAAGCTGATACAGCGAAACAGTTGTTTATTTACATATCCAATAGACATGAAGCAGCATTAATAATAATTTGAAGTAAATCACTCTATTAACTGAACGGTGCGGGGATTCGTCCTAAATGTATGACAGGGTTTTTTTTTTTTTTTAGCTTTGACTGATTATTAAAGTGATATTGGATCTGATCTGAATTGATTTAAGGATGGAACCTGTGTTGTTACTACTTTAACTATTTTGTGTGTATGAAACATGATACAACTCATAAGGTCTCTGGATATTCTGTTTTGAATGTGCGGCCTACAGCATGAACTTTCCTCTCAATACTTTTGTTGGACGAACTGGATCTTTTATGCTCGTTGTCATGCAGTATGTGGGTGAGATAAAGTACATTTTTTCTACCAGGTTAGGACTGTTTTCTGTCATCCTGTAACCTTTTTTTCTATTTTCCTATCCAGCTATCTTTAAAAAAAAAAAAAGAAAGAAGATTTTACAAAAGAGCATTTGTATTGTATTGTATTGTAGTGTCTTTTTGTTTGACATGTAATTCTTCATTGAACTGCTTGTTAAATGGGATTGTTGTATGGAACTGGATTCAAATAAACACAGACTTTAATTTATCTACCACACACTCAGAGGAAATCATACTTTTCTTTCTGACGTGAATGTGAAGAGCAAAACAGCAAAATTTTCTCATTGCTTTCACCAAAAACATCTGACTGGCTGATTTATTCATTTATCACAGTGCTTGCAAAAACTGTTGTAGGGCGAATGGACACTGCAAATATCTACCAACAGTTTATTGGCTGGTTACTCTGCAATCTCCAATGTCAGGAAGTTACAACTCTAAGACAACAGTAAGATTTGATCAAAACTTATCAGTGTGTCAACAGATTGTGTCCAGCTGTAGAATAGCTAGCGTTTTTGAAACAGTGATTTTATAATTATTACACTTTATTGAGAGGAAATGTTGAAAAAAATATGCATTGTTCTCCTCTGTCACACAGTGCAAGTCACTACTGGTAAACAGTTGTTGAACAACACCCACCTCATCTTACAAGAGGCTCCACTTCACCCATGATTGTCTGGTGTCATTATCCCCACAATACACAACTGCCACTCTAATGTTTTTATGTGAAAACAGGCTGCTTGAAACAAGCTCTTTGTTTCAATTGATGCATAAGCAAAAGGAAAAAACAATAATTATGTTTAACTTTTCCATTAAAAACTTAGTTCTGAATTAAAGCTTTGTTGTAAAGAAGATATCAGCCATTTGTTTAAGTGTGAAGATATGTTAATGTAAAAAAATAAAGCTGACTTTCCAAACTGTTCCCCCTTCAACAAAGGACCAAATCCCCTAATAACGAAACTCTTGGGTCACTTTGTAGTCCTTTTGTGTCTCTTGATGTTTTTGTCCCTTTATCATGATTGTGCATCTTTTAGTGGTCTTTTGTGGTGAGTGGTATTGTAGCCCTTTTGTGTCTCTTAGTGTCTTCTTAGTCTTTTTTTTTTTTTTCTCCTTTTTGATCTTTTTGCATTTCAGTCTTTGCTTTGATTTTCCTTGTGGTAGTTTTGTGTCTCACCTATGTGGGTGTCCCTCCAGGCCACCTCTCTGGCACTGCCGCTGAAATCACATGACCATTGTCATAAAAACGGTGTGTGAGGTGATGAATATGTGTACTCCACTACACATTAATTCAATTATTGGAAGGCAGATGGAAGACTACCTGTAGCTCCCACTGCAGCAGGCTTTTGATCAGTCACTCAACCAGCTGCTCAGTCTCTCTTCTCCTCTAGACTCGGTTTGGACATAAAATATGTACATGAAGACAGAAAACCTGTGAGAACACAACTCTATTAGCTCAGCTTTCAGCTTTCATTAATATTAAGACATTTAAATAAAAAAAGGAAAAAACTTTTCCACTTCTACTGTTTCATCTCTTTCATGATTTTACTTTATTGTACCACATTTGAAACATCCTTTAAATCATGTTTATTCTTAAACATTTTTTTCCATAATGGAGATGAGGCTCATTGAATTTGAAATGAAGCTCTGTACCATGGAAACCCAATTGTTAGCTGCTGTAGTTAACCAGTCCCCAGTAACTGCCGCAGCCAGGATGCCTGGGAGACTGTCCAAAGGAAGCACAGTCCTAAGCAGAACCCTGTGTTTCACCACCACCCAGTTCTCGTTTCAACACAGTAAGATCATAATTCATTTCGGCAGCAGATCATAATTTACATCAGTGTTATAAATTATATCAGTTCTCAGGTATGAAATGACTTCTACTCTTTCCACCCAGCTTTGCAGTTGGCGGGTTGGCTTGCAAACCCATGGTGCAGTCTGTTGCCTTGGCTAGAAGCAGCAGTACTCGCATCTGGCAGAACATACTGGCCTGGTAGTGTGTGCATTCTACACATTTGTAAATAGTTAATTTGCATTGTGCAGCAGACTGGTGTTTTCTTTGAATTTTACAATTCCTGTTTGGGTGGAGCTATTTTGTGTGTTCTTTTGCTTGCAATACAGCCAAAAATGGATTACATAAACTGTAGGTTACCCCGGGCAATTTAAGCAGTCAGGAAGACTGCTTAAATTGACACTAAATTGCATTGAGCATGAAATAATAATTGCATTTATTAAGTTTAAAAAACTGTAAAACTGCTGGGTAAAGCTAAAAGCACATCTTTTAAATTCTTTGCACGTCCTGTGTAGAAAATATCTGCATTGAAAGTTAAAAAACATACCTGCACAATGCTTGTTTATTCCAACTTCTCTTTCTATGTATTGTAGACTTGACTGACAACATTTTGACCAGCAGAGGACTTCTTTAGGTCCAGCATATGGTTAACAAAAACCTGAATGATACAGCATTTCAAAATGGAATATCATGATTTTGTTGCTATGACATGGCATGACATACAGACGCTTTTGTCCAAAGTGACTCACATTTTTTTCCTTTCAGCTACATATACACTGGGAGCCATATGGGTTTCAGTGTCTTGCTATTGAACACTAAAGGACAGTTCCCAAGGATATATGAAATAATGACCTTCAGTTGATGTATATCAGTATATATTGTTTTGGAAAATAACCTTTATTTCACTAAATGTATTAACAAGCTTCCAGGTTTAAAGCTGAGATTTAACCTGACAATGACACTGTTGACATCCTGTCTGTGTAGAGTCATGTTATCTACGCTGGCCCTGTGCAACAGAATGAGAAGAGAGCGAGAGGCAGAGGGGGTTTTTGGCAAATTGTTACAAAAAGATGGCTTGAGGGATAACGTTGCTAGGAGACCCTGACTTTTATCCCGGAATCCTACAGGAATCCAGACTCACTGTGTGTGCGCACGTACCTCCTCCTCCCACTGCGTTTGTGTGTCCTCGCTCTTGCTCTTACTATAAAGCCATGAGCATCTCGCTCTTCGCTCTGCTCGAGTAGAGTTGAGGCTGATTCCCCTGAAACAAACTACAGTCAACTCAGCTGTGCTTGGAGAATGAAAAACGGATAATTCTTCAGCTTTTTGTTTTTTTTTTTAAATAGAAAGCATTTTAACGGGCATACTTTTGTCAAGGTTATAGAGCAAATGCCGACTCCCACACAAGCATGTGTCTTCTTTGAATCAAGTTACTATTCTTGCTTGAACTTCACTACGGGCAGTGGAACAAAGAGGTGAAAGCCAACTCAAGGAAAGGAAGCTGCAAGTACAATGGATTGTTTACTTTGGGGAATTAGAAGACATCTGTCTGCCTCTGAGCATGAACTCAGCTCCTCGTAAACAGATCACCAGAGCTGCCTGCAGGTTTGCTTACCTCGCAGGTCAGAAACACAGAGTGCTTTAAAGCTCTGGCGGGTGATGTGGTGGCAGCAGAGGGGGTCGTTTTCATCCACCGTGATCTGATGAAAAGATGCATTTTCTCCTCTACTGTGCCTTCTATTCTTCTGTGTCCTCTTCACACGAGCACATCCACATGCTCTTTGTCTTTCTGCTTTGTGCTGCAATGAAATGAACGCCAACTTTCCTCTTCGATACCTAACCGCTTTCTTTTACTGCTCCATTAATTTCCTTCCCATATTCACTTTATCCTCAGACAGACTCATCTCTTAGCCTAACCCCTCCCCCTCAACCCATCACTATTGCACTTTCCTCTGCTTTTCTCTCATGCTTCTGTCTTGATTTTTCTTTCCTTTCCCATTTCAAACTATCAATCTTTCTCTCCCTTCTTTAGCCTAAGGTCAGTCAGGACTCGGTGCACACACGCTGCACACTCTCTCTCCTAATTACCATCTCTCTCCTCAGCTTCTATTCTCACACCACCGTCACAATCATCCGTCCTGTGCTGTCAAAAATGTTCTCCTCCGAAGAGCTGTGGAACTCAACTGAACAGGTCTGGATCAACGGCTCCCAGGTGAACTTCTCTCTGGGAAGACGTGGGGGCGATGACGAGGAGGAGGAAGGAGATCAGCACCCCTTCCTCACAGACGCCTGGCTGGTCCCCCTCTTCTTCTCCCTCATCATGCTGGTCGGACTCGTGGGCAACTCTCTGGTTATTTATGTCATTTCCAAACACAGGCAGATGAGGACAGCAACTAATTTCTACATAGGTGAGTAAGAGCAAAAACTAGTATATGCAAATTTGTATTTCTGATTTCTGGTTGTTTTGTCACAAAACAAGATGCAAAAACAGGTTCAAATAAAGAACATCCTGGGGATCAGTGGGCTATCATGTATATATGTGCTCCCAGAATGTCAAGTCTTATAATAATTTAATGTATGTCTCTTTCATATATCCTGTAACACTTCATCGCATGCCAATAGTGGGTTCAAAACACCCCCCGGGGTTCACAGAGAAGCTCAATGTAATTTCACTCACTCTTCATTTGCCTTCATTAGTATCCAGCTACCTGCAAGAATGTCCACTTTGATTAAAGGTTTCACTTTCACCATTAGAGGAACAGAGAGGTGTTGACATGTGTCCTGAATCACAAGTGGGTGCAAATTGTTTCTAAGATTGATCACCTAAGAAGAAAAAAAGGGGGCATAATAATTATCTGCTGGGGGTGTTTTGGGAGCTGCATAACATTTGGAATTATTAGTTTGTGCAAGACAGAATTTTTTATCGGACAAGTGCTCAGGGCTTAAAACAGGTGTCATGTGTTTCTGCTTATTTGCAAAGGGTTTGGATCCCCTGCATATAATACTCAGGGGATTCATGATATTAATGTAATCAACATAAAAAAAAAAGTTTGTACATCACTGATGCTGCAGTTGTTGATATTATCTCATTTGTCGTTTAGTTTCAGAACAAAAATACCCAGCGAGGAATGGTGCGAGATAAAAGTCAGGTTTCTGCAAGTTTTAGCAGAATTACCAGAAAATCTACATCATGAAAATGAATGTGCGTTTCCATCCACTGATGTTGTGTGAATATTACGAGCCGGTTCATTGAGATAAACGGTGGTGCTAATTGTCCAGTCGGAGTCCATTAAACCATTACTGAAGAAGAGGGAGCAACAAGATGGTGTAATTAAAAGAGTTCCAGCCTCGAATACAGAAAAACAAATGTGATGGTTTGTTTCTTGTAGTAATTTACAGTCTTCTAGTTGCTACACAGATCAGATGCTTCATGTGTGGCGCAGAAGGTTTAGTAAACATTTACATTTTTAACCCCTCAAATTTCCACTCAGGTGCTTATTATAGACAAACAGAAAATGTGTACAAAAACAGGTGGAAACACACATGGAGATTTCATCAGGAGGATTGCAGTAATCGTCTGTGGATCAGTAAAACAAGAGAAATCAAAGGAGTGCATCAATCATGCACCTGTCTTATATCTCTGCTGGTATTCAGTGCACACAGACCTGAAACCTGGGTGATTGATTTTTGTTGAAGTCAATTACAGCACCTCTTATAGAGCCGTGATGTCACTGTCACTTGATGAGAATTGCAGAGATGACTGATTGGCGGAGGTCAAGTCCACAGAAAATAAGAATTAAAAATAATGAAATACATGAAATTAAAGAATGTCATATAAATACTGTACATATATGTAAATCAGCTTGTGTAAATGGTTTGGTCTGTAATTTACTGCATCTGTTTTCATATAGGGCCCCGTGGATGTGACAGGAATTTTGATCTTTGATAATATCTCAAGGCCACAGAATTGAAATAGTTTAATATTCAGCAACATTAGATTAGCGCCTGCACCATCTGGCCATCCTTTCAACATAATGGTCCAGCCACTATAATGTGATTAGATCAGTAAGTAAAACAAACAGGAGATAGCGCACGGCATATCTGTCAGAATGACAGATTATATGGAGGGAGAGAAAGCGAATCCAGACCAGACTACCAAGGTTATCAGCGCAGCCTCTGCTTGGTGTATCTCAACATGAATGTTTTTGAGTGCATACATATGAAGATCTGTTTGCCACTCTGAATTTAAATTGGCATTTCATAAGTGTTTGTGTGAGTCTGTGTGTGTAGGTGTCAATCAGTCGACAATCGCTTGATTTTCTTAAGGTGCCTACAGCATTTCATGAAGTAAACATCAGATCCACCTCCCTCGTCTCTCTAACTTTCCTTTTTAGAGTCACCAAACTCACAAACAACAGTTCAATTAACAAGTTGAAAACATATAACATATTTACTGCAGAAAAAATGCACTGGGTTTGTTTAGATTGTGCAGATGTTGCTTGGTGTTATTCAAACTCCTGGTAGATAATGATACTGTGTATTAAGCATGCACAGTTAGATTTCTAACTACGTTACGCTTTTGTTTCCAAATAGTTCTCGTCATCTGAATTTATTTAAATCTCATGATGTTGCCCTCACTATCAGATCTGTAATGCACCAGAAGAAAACAGATAAATATTCGTTTAAGGTTTATTGCAGTATTATCCAATTATCCACAATGCAATTCAGAATCAATTAGGATTAATTGTGTTATTATACATGGATTTTTAATGTCCATGTTAGACTCATGTAACAATCATCACAATATCAATTCAGACTGGATGTGATGCAGGGTTGCAACCTATTTTCATTATCAATGAATGTGTAAATTATTTTTCTTGATTAATCCATTGGTCCATAAAAAGCCCAAAGCTCAATTCAACATATTCAAATGTCTTGTTTTGTTCCACTAACTGTAATAACCCAAAGATATTCAGATTAATATAACAGAGGACTAAGAAAATGCTCACTTTTGAGAGGCTGGAACCAGAAAATTTGGGGCATAGTTGCTTTAAAAATGACTTGAACGATTACTTGATTATGGATAATAGTTTCTTCACTATCAGATCGTTTATCACTAGGGTGAATGGTGGCATAGTGGTCAGATGTCTGTCTTTTTTCCTCTGGAAATGTTAAAGAATCAATGTGACATTTACCTGACACACCCTTAGTTATACCAACTGTGCAACACTGTGCCGTACACTTTACTCCACAATTACTGCATGCTGTTTTCTCCCTGTGCAGCAAACCTGGCTGCCACTGACATCATCTTCTTGGTGTGCTGTGTCCCCTTCACTGCCACCCTCTATCCTCTCCCTGGATGGATCTTTGGCAACTTCATGTGCAAATTTGTTGCCTTTCTACAGCAGGTAAAAACATGTTTTTTACCTTAGCAATCATAATTGACTTCTTCTTTGGCCCCATAAAATGTGCTTTCACACCCACAGAAGTGTTATTTCACTGTGCTTTCTGCCAAAGATACTGAGAAAAAGGACATTTTGCTCCATTTGCTCTTAAATTGAACGAAACCCCAATAATCATAATTTAATAAATTTTTCTCACAGCTTTGGTACAATCTAATGACCTTCTGCATGAGCAGCCAGATGCGTTCTGGTTTCATAACTCAGCTGTGTGAAATTAAAGAGTTTAAAATGAAAGGAATTTAAATTTCAGAGCTTGAAAAGACCTGCTGCTGAGCCATTGTAAAGGTGCAAGATACACAGCTGGGATCTGATTTATTAAAAATATGCAACTCACAATGACGGAAAAAGGATGTCCATGCAACAATCAGAGAAAGAAAAGAAAAAAAAGGTCTGCCCAGCATCGACTGCTGACTGAGAACAATATGTTTCTACAAAGTGCGGCTACACATTGCTAAAACTAATGCAGTCAACAGGCTACACAACAGACACACCTCTACAGCTGAATCAACATTCATGAGGATTAATTGCAGGACTGTTGCATTAGACTGAATTATTTTTTGCATTAGGTTTACACAATAAACTGACAACTGTATTTTGAAGGAATGTCATAGATGCCACTAAAAGTAAACCAGCACCAGGCTGAAAGGGAACATTAGATACTGTATGAATGGATCCCAACATTTTTGCATTGTGACCCTTCAAAGCAACGCAACACACTGTATATTCACAACCCTTTTCACTGGTTGCATAACATGTCGGAACCATTTCAAAGAGCACTGATGCCTCCATCCCTGAAAGGTTCAGGTGTTTTGAGGCCTGAATGATTTCTCAATCCATCTCTAGCTTCATCTCATAAAAAAGAAAAATAATAAAAAAAAATATATAAAAGGCACTTATAAATACTGTACTTCATGCACCTGCACCTTGTGGCACTTGTGTCAGATGCTGAGGCTTTTATTCTCAAAGGCTTCTCTTTGATCAACTATGGCTTGGATTGTACCTCAATAGTACGTTTCTTGGGACAAAAACCAAAAGTATTTGTATGTGTGAGCAAAAAAAGACAAATTAATGCAGGTAAATAACTATCCTGAAAAAAATACACCATTTTTCTAGCAGCAATATCTTTTGTTTTCTTGTTTCTTTTCTCACAACCCCTTCAGTTTTGTTTTGTGACCTTTAAGTAGCTCTGATCCATAGGTAGCAGCAGCATTGCTTTGCCCTGTATAGACATAGACAGAACAAGGCTGTTAGCCACTCGGACTATATAGACTCTTAAGTTTTACCTTGTCTGTCGGCGACTGTTCAATGCACCAACAAGTGAAATGACTCACAATAATTAATTCTCGGAGTTTTAATTCCCAGGTCTGTACAACATCACCTTAAGGTGCAGCAATAATTGATTTTCTGTGTGTTTTTACTGTTTTGGCCACTTGGGGGCAGCGTACCAAACTGTAAGCAACAATATCATTCATTTGGAGTTGTGTTTCCTGCCACATTGCAAAAGTCCAATACTTAGTCTTGCTGCAGCACTGCTTTAGTCTACCAACTGCTGAAGCAAATATCTGTAACTGTAAATAACTAAATCCTCCACTATGTTCACCAATATAGTCCCTCACTTTGTCTGTCTGCTCTTTAGTGTTTAGGGAGTTTATCAAAGTATTTTTTTTTTCAGTAAAAACCCCTGCTGATGAGAGTGGTGAGAGTGAACCAACAACAGTGAAGTTGCAGGTCATAAAACCAAAACAATGAGCTGAAAGATGCTAAAATGCTCTGTAGACTTAAGAGCAGGTGCAGGGTTCGGTTTTAATTCTCTGTGGGTTTGTCACATACATGAATTCATCTGATCCTTTGTTGATATAAATTATTGATCAGTGTGGCTTTAATTAAAGCCCTTTTAGTAGTTTATGTTTCAGTTCACTGGATTTTCTTTTCCCCTTTCCTCTTAGATTTTAAATTTTGAAATACAACCACTCAGGGAAGCTAAATGTAAAATATATGGCCCTGCACTATGTTCAACAGCTGGTCTCTAATATTGTCCAGCTGTTGTTTGGTGCTGACCAGGAGCTGGGTTTATCAGAGCTGGAGACAAGGACTGATGAGAGCAGTGAGTGCTGAAGAGAACTGCAGAGTAGGGGCGTAACTCTCTGTGACTATCATTACATAAAAAGTCAATTTATTATATCCATTATAAATCCAAAAATATCGATCTCTTCAGCTCTAAAAACAGCCTGCAGTCTTGGCAAGAAGTCTGCAGCACAAACTTTATACACAGGCAGGTAGTAAACACTGGTGTTTTCTTGCTATTGGCACATGTTGGAGACGTAAACCTACATTTCGCTTTTGCATTCTGTTATTACATGCCTACACTTCCTCTCTTTGGACACATGAATTATCAGGGGGGAGGCTGGGCCAAGGCCACAACCTGCTGACTCCATGCTGCTTATTCAAAGAGGAAGGTCAACTAGAACATCCTTAAATGGACAACCTATGACAATAAGTGGGCATTATGCTCAGATTTTAAACTGCCATGCTTTCTGTTAAACTGTAATTATACTGTGCAAAGCACTAATAACTGCTGGCTGCCCTAAAAATAATGTTCATTGAGCACCCAGAGCCAAATAGCTTGGAAAGGCCACACTGTCACTAAGAGTCTAAAAGTAGAGGAGGGTTACCACAGCTCCCGTTTAGTTAATAAGCAACCTGTCAAGTGACGCAAAATATAAACCAACAATAAATAAGACATAACCTTCCTTTGGGAAACTGAGCTTAACTATAATGTGCAGTAAATTTCAAGTAGTTAAAAGTGTACCTCATTCATTATGTAGATAGGAGGGAGGACGAGACAAACTGTCAGGAAAAATGCAGAATAACAAGATATACATGGCTAGTTTGAGCATAAAAGCATAATTTAGCATAATAGACTATGATGTCAGTGTGTGACGCAGGGCAGGGACACAAGCAGGCAGAGAGGCTAAAAGGTTTTAGTGTGATTTAGTTTATTCTTCTTTATCTGAACATGGAGACTTGTAGCTTGAGTCTGAACATTTCTTTTGGAAGATGGAAAAGGCACTTGTCTGTCATACAGCTTTAAACACAAAGCTATATGACAGACAAGTTCTGTTTCACCCAGCCGTTTTCTCTGCCTGTTATCATCATCCAACTCTGCATGTTTTTTTGTTTTTTTTTATGTTTTAATCAGTTACTGTGAAGGGAGACCATCCACCATTTATTACTGCATGTACCCGAGAGAATGGTAATGTTTGAGGGTTTGTATTGAGTATAATGACACAGGGGAACTCACCACTCTTTATACCACTCTAAGAAATATAGCCTGTTAACCTAAGAACGGTCTCCAAATTTCAGTTAATGAAAACTACCAGAGGGGAACAGCAGGTGTGGTGACCCATGCCTGCTGTGTTTACATCCATCATCATCAGAAGATTCTGTTTGAAACTTCGATCCCTGATTCCCTGCTGGGAAAAATGCTCTGTGGCAACTGCACAATACACAGTTAGGAAAGAGGAAGTGAGTAAGTACAAAAAAATCAAAACTACCATAAAGTCAGGCCTGATAGCATCAGCATACAGCAGGTCCAGGGTGGAGGATGGTGTAGTATTATCACATTTACATGATTATACGTTACGGTTGATCTCAGCTATAAGGATCTAAGGAGGCGTGGGGGAACATGTTCTCTCAGTAGAGGTCATTTGACGCCTTGGGAGAAATTATTTCACGGTTTGTACAACACAACAGGAAGGAGGAGCCAAACACAGACACAGACCGGGCAGCCAGGAATGGTTCAGTGATGTCAATGGAAGAGATTGAAATCACTCACAAAACAGGTCAGGGGATGGCAAAAACAAGGTGCACAACATGCATGAATGATACACAACAATGTGGCTGGAGAATGATGGCTGGTATCGATACTGTGAGCTGATTGGAGAATTGGAAACAGGTGTGGAAGTCAGGGAATGAGAGACAGGTGAGCAGGTGTAAAAAATACTCTAAAAAGTCCATTTGAAAGTAAAGACCTACGTACATCTCTCATTTTATTTTCTCATCACCTTGTATGACCATTTTCACCAAATGGATCCAAGATAGGGAAAGTGGCAGCACAGTAACTCCTTACTTACAATCACAAACTGTAATTTCATATCAATTGTTTTTTTGTATAGATTGAACAAACATGATATAATGTAATAAATCAGTAAGCTTTGGTGGCTTTTTTTGCCTTGGGCAGAGCCAGACTAGCTGTTTCACTACATTAGGGCTGCAACAAATTATTTTCATTGTTAATGAATTTGCATATTTGCTTGAAAAATGGTAATTATTCATCACAATAGTTCCCCATCCATTTTCTTTCAATCAACGAATTGATTAATCAAAGAAATTTTGCACTAAATGTTCAGATATAGATCTTCTCAGCTGAAAGTGAGTAATCATGTTTTAAAAAAAGTGAAACTATTCCTTTGAATGCAACTTAAACACATTACATTTAAAACAACAGATACAAACCACTATAAAATACTGATACAGCCAAGATGTACATACTGGTAACCAGTAGGACTTTAACAACATCAACATTAACAAGTGTGCAGCATACTGTTACTACTTTTATCTTGTGTAATATTCACTATTTACTGATTACGAACATTATCTGTGAAAACCTGTTTCTACTTATTAAAAATGAGAATGTCTTAATGTAGCTAGATATTTTATTTGTCCATTAAAGTGCATTATTTAAACGGATCTTGAAGAGAAGCAAGGAGGAGGCAGTTCTTTATCATGACACCGAATAAAACATGAAGACACAGAATTATTTTCATTATTTGCACTCTCTTGTCCAAGCCTCTAAAGACACAATCATGTCCTATTGATTTAACAAATACATTGTGCATCAAAAGATCCACCTTGCACAATTCAATCTTTCCCCACATCACTAAAAGAAATGAGAGGAAATGGTTTTTGCTATTGAATACACTGCTCAGCTTATGATCTAAATATAGTCTCTTTCCAATGTCCAAACCTATTCCTTTGAATAGACATTATGTATCAAAAATAACAAGGCAGTGTGTTCTTTATGTACCAGATGTCTTAAAAATTGACGGACTGCAGTACTATTTTCCTCAGTGGCCTCAACACTGAACTCATCGTGACCCTTTTCTTTCTCTCTCATTATATCCTTTGAAACCCTGATGTGTTGCTCTAAACCTCTGGAGGCCGTGGGTGCTAGCTTAACGGACGTAGATAAGAGGAGGAGAGAGAAAGAGGCAGATTCATACACAAAAGAGGGACAAAATTAGATTCCATTTGGAAAACAGTGCAGCGAGAACTTCTGACTCCTCATTTCTCACCTTGCTGCACATATTTCAAAGTGATATGAATTACCTACATATAATATAGTATGACCATCAGAGGTCCATGTATTTGAAGTGAGCACAATATCATTTTCTGAAGAGGATGAAAAGAAGTGTGAGGCTTGTTTGCTTTCTCATTCTGCTCTGAGGGAAAGCAGTGTACAGATGTGTATGAGAAGAAAATAGTCTTTCTAGACAATGTTTGTTTATTTTCATATTGAGAATATTTAGAATTTTGTATATTTCAAGATCTGGGTGAGTCAAACCTGCAAATATACCTAAACAATCCTACTGTGACATGAATTCTGCATTTGGCCTTGAATTAGCATTCTTCTGATGTGCCAGAATTTAATTGAATCAAGCATCATTGAACCCCATTAAAAACGAAATTGAATTATTTGTTCATACGCTAATTAAAATACTCACGACAAATGCAGTTTCCTTTCTGCTTCCCATCTTTCTCATCCTCTGTATGCCCCATGCTTTTCAGATTCATAGCATGAAAGCTCATTAGCAAAACAAGACAAGCTGGTTTCTTGAGGATAAAGAAAAAAAAGTTGCTTGAACTTCTCCTTTGCTTTGTAATGAGGAGCGAATAACTACAAGGCTGGACACCATTAGAGCAGTGGGGGCTAAATTTCTCTTGCAATATGATCACTTGAGCTAGTTTAGAAGATCTTTCAAGTTTGTGATGGACTCTCTGAGAAAACACAACTCGTCGTCGCAGGTTATTTAGAAACAGAACTGCATTCTTTTTCATCTTGCAACATGTAGACCTGAGAGTTTAAAGCCCTGGAAATCTACATTGACAGATATCTAGAGTTATACCTTTAACAATACATAAATAAATATCTTCCAGTGTTTTTGTTGAATCTAGTGCGTTTGATATGACTAGAGCTGACAGACATGGACATTGTATTGGCAACAAAAACGAGTTCTGCTTGTTTTATCCTGTGTAGTTTGTCATAGTGGAAGACAAAGGCAAAAATGTATTATGTGACACTGATTCAAAGTTCAGTGATGGTGAAGTCAAACAGTAATCACCACAAGACACAGCATCCTAAGGAAAGCAATCCAGTCCATCCGATGATGAGTTTGTAATGTCTCCTGGCCAAGTCACAGCAAGCGTTAATGCCTCTGCGATTGCCTAATAATAACAGACAAATAAAAGCTCATGTGCAGCACAAGTGACTTGAATGGATGAATCCTTTGCCTCACAGGAAGCGATCCGCTTACTGCGAGATGTAGAAACTGTGATGTGCTGGTTATCAACAGAAAACGAAAGCGTACAGATAAAACTATCAACAAACCAGAGTCAAATTTCTGAGGTTGTGTTCAAACCAAAAAGAAAAAACAGATTCACAAGAATTATCACTGCAGTAGATAAGGGAATTATCTGGTTTTACAATATTACGTTTATCAGGGGATAACGAAAACTACTATACCACTACTATTCTGAATGTTTTCTTATGGGCATTTCGTCTTCCTCATTATGCAGCACATCAAATCTTCTAAAGATCCTGAGAAAATGTAAAATCTGACACTGACGTCACACGTTGCTTTTGAAAACCAATCAAAAATGTGTCTTCTGCCCTGGGCTTTCATTGTAGTACTAACACTAAATTACAAGTGAATCTGCATTCTGCTGTCTCTGACACAAAACACATTCAGAGTGCAGTGCTAAAACATTGCACATATGTCTCACTGTCTTTCTTAGGTGACAGTCCAAGCCACCTGTATCACTCTGACTGCCATGAGTGGAGACCGCTGTTATGTCACAGTCTACCCTCTGAAATCCCTCCGCCACCGTACCCCGAGAGTAGCCATGATCGTCAGCATCTGCATATGGATCGGTCTGCCCTGTTCCTATCATAAAAAAATGATTCTCTTATCACTTCTTCTGCATGTAATCATTTTAATTAATTGTGATAATTAAGAGTTTCATAAATAATCAGGCCCAATTTAATATAAAATGGGTAAAATAAAGTGTGTAGGGTTTCAACTACTTCAACAAACACAGTTTTTTGTCCTGCCCAGGTTCCTTCATCCTGTCTACCCCGATTTTAATGTACCAGCGTATAGAGGAGGGTTACTGGTACGGTCCAAGGCAGTACTGCATGGAGAGATTTCCCTCTAAAACACATGAGAGGGCTTTCATCCTCTACCAATTTATTGCTGCCTACCTGCTACCTGTCCTCACTATCTCCTTCTGTTACACTCTGATGGTGAAGAGGGTGGGTCAGCCCACTGTGGAACCAGTAGACAACAACTATCAGGTATGGCCAAGGTTTGTTTCGCTTTGTTTTGTGTTTAATGGGAACTGCTTTTAACTTTATGATACAACTACAACTAAGTGGCCGAATACAACTAATGTGAGCTAATTGGTTAGAAGTTTCTTCTCCTCTTTGTATGGTGGTAGTACCGGTCCTTTTTTTCAAATATTCGTTATCTTGCTTTTAATGTTGGCTGTCTTTGAATGTGTGTTTTAATGCACCTTTCTTTAAAGCAGCTGTGAGCAATTGTTTAAAAAAAATGGATCAATGACTACGTGTAATGAAAAGGGTTTTGTTCATAGTGACAAACACAGAGAAAATTACAGCCTGGCTGCAGTTCCCCTAAGGCTCTAAGGACTTCTCAGCATCTTTCAAGTCTTCGTTTTGGTTTTTTTGCTTTTACTTCAGACTCATCACTCTCATAATGTTTTTGGGCGGCAGGAGGCAGCTGTTTTCTATGGAGTTCACATTGCCTGTTAATAAAAATAGAAAGGTTTGGCTTTTTAGTTGACAAATAAGGACTTGAGTAATTTATAATCTAAATGGTTGTGGCTGTGGCTCTTTGCCTGGAACATTCATCCAATAAACTGCAAAGACCATGCAAAGAAAAACTGAGAACTGCAAAACAAACAAAAAAAAAAAAATCAAACCAAAAAAGAGGTAATACAGTCACTCTGTAGATGTGTTTAAACACATCCCATTCAACTAACATACTGGATGATCCCACATTTCTTTTGATTTTCTTTAATAGATAATATTAACTACAGAGTATTCCGTAAAAATCTGTACGCTACTTACACAGCACCAAAGACAGAAAGACAGACACAGTTAGCGACCATCTGATGAGCATAGTGAAGCATTTAGAAGCTCAAGAGCTGGTAGAAACAAAACACACACTCAAACATAAAAAAAAACACTCCAAGTGAATGATAACTGCTGCGTTGCCACATATCTTTTGAATATGTAAATGAGCAAATCTATCAATTCACCATATCAACCTGCGTGTTGTGTTCACAGCTTGTTTCTGCTGCCCCCAAGTGGTAAAAAAATTAGTTATTGCAGATTTTATTTTTTGTGTTGTGTAAAAAAGTTCCTCTCCTCTCCTCTGCTCCTTAGGTCAACCTGCTGTCTGAGAGAACTATAAGTATCAGAAGCAAAGTCTCCAAGATGGTGGTAGTGATTGTCCTCCTCTTCGCCATCTGCTGGGGACCCATCCAAATCTTCGTCCTCTTCCAGTCTTTCTATCCAAACTACCGTCCGAACTACGCCACATACAAGATCAAGACGTGGGCCAACTGCATGTCTTACGCCAACTCCTCAGTCAACCCCATCGTTTATGGTTTCATGGGAGCCAGCTTCCAAAAGTCCTTCAAGAAAACCTTCCCCTTCTTGTTCAAGCACAAGGTCAGAGACAGCAGCATGGCTTCAAGGACTGCCAACGCTGAAATCAAATTTGTTGCTGCAGAGGAAGGCAACAATAATAACGGAGTAAACTGAATCAGACAATAAAAAATAGGAAGAATGAGATCGATGTTTGAATCCACAGTAACGATAAGCGAAAGCCATGGCCACAATAGAGCAACTTGCTGATTTCAAATGGACTATGACTGAGGCAATGTTTGGCATACACATTTTATTTATGTTAATGAATGCAATTAATTAGCAAATTTATGTGGGTAAACACTGACTCATAAAACAGATGGACACTCACTGTGTTTGGCACAATGTGTTACTTTTTCCACTGCCAAAACCAGCTGTTCATACAACATGTCATCAACTGAGCTGCTAAACACCTTGGCCTAATAACAGAGTCCTTCATACCTGATGACAAAAGAGGAAAATGTGGTCGAAAGCTGCAGGTGGGGAGTCCCAGTCCCTATAAGATCTGACAAGTTCTGCAGTTGTGGTGTGGACTGTCCAGCCTTTGTAGTGAACATTGAATGTACATTTTGAATGGACAGTTAATACTCTATGAACAGGTTTTTTTAATTATTTAAAATGTGGTTGACATCTGTTGCTGACACTAGTGAAAAGGGAATAATTCACACTTTCAGTATCTGTCATCGTGGGAAAGGAACAGTTTCACATTTTGGAAATGTGCTTATTGACTTAGTTAGATGACATGATTAATACCACAAATATGAAGGTAGAGCCAGGAGATGATTAGCTTAGCTTAGCACAAAGGCTTAGCACAAAGGGGAAACAGCTCGCCTGGCTCTCATCAAAAATATGCCTATAGGAGCACATCTGAAGCATAATAATTAACCTGTAGCTTGCTTGTTTAATGTGGCTCTTGTTCTCCAAGATATAATTACAACAAATAACTCATACACAGAAAACCACAAGCTATCACTTTTACTTTTCTGCTTGTATATAAATTAATTAGTCAACTTTAGAGGTGCTGGAAGACATATTTTTGAACTTTGACATGCTTCGAGTCTTTACGTATGCTAAGCTGAGCTCATTGCCTCCTAACTCCAGCTCCATACATGTGTTCTTGTCATATCAGAGTTATTGTTATTTGAGTTTCCAACATGTAAACAGCACTCGTGTCAACTCTGAACTCTAAACTGGAAAACAGGCAAACATGGATACCTCACGTCAGCCAAGGTTTATTGGTCAATGTACTGCCAAATAGGGGAGGGCGATCTGGCAAAAAGATCATATGACAGTCTTTTTGGGTGGAATCCCAATCCACGATCTTAATCATGATAAGCATCCTGTTTCCGCTCTGGTTTTATTGTGAAAGTTCTGAGTTATGGTTTGTATAGTTCTGCCGCTATGATGCTTCTTTTGGATGTCTGTTTGCCTGCCAAAATTCTTCGCCCACAATGGTGTCTTCTCTTTACAAATTGTATCACAACCAATCACACTTTTTTCTTAGTTCATGTGGAGTATTTGTTTGGACAGCACTTATTTATTTATGAGGTGCTATAAGTGTTTTGTTTTGAAACTTCAGTCCAGCAGACTGCAGATCTTGGACTGCAGCTGGTGGCAGTTGTTCTTGTTCTGCTCCTTTGGAAAAACTAAAAATAGCACCTTTTAATAATGCAATCTGTACGATTCATCTGAAAAAGAGATCATATGCCAATGATCATCCACAATATAAGATCAGATCTCCCAGCCCTACTGCCAAATTTAAAGGATATACTGCCATATTGTCAATTTAACCCTGACTCCCTGACCAACTCTGTAATTATACAACCATCTTGACTTGATGATGTGAATGCTCACAAATCGTCTCCACCTCCATCATCATCATCATTCCCACAGGATGTGAATATGGCATTAAGGCACAGACCTGGGCATGGTATCGATCTTCTTTTCTAACTCTAAGCAACAAATCAAATTTCTCAAAATGTCAAACTATTCCTTGAAAAATATGTCTGTATCTTGATTACTTGTTGGGTGACTCTGCAAGGTAAAGTGCGTCTCCTTTTCATACGCAGTTCCCAACCTAAACGCCTGAACATAACACAACAAACATCAGTGGTTGCATTAAGGTTACTGTCAAAGTTCAAATACCTCTCTAGTGTCTGCAATGGAGACACTGACAGGAGCCTCCATCCTTCTTCTTTAATCACATTCAACCAGCTGTGAAACAGTGAGCTCAGGGTAACACAGTGCTTTTCTCTTTGGAAAGAATAAAACGAAACACAGCCTGCATCCAGTTTCCATGCTGCCAAACGTGATGAGTGTGGGCTGGCTGAAGTACGGGTTACAACCGGTGAAGCATAGACGGTGTTTACCTTCTTTTGTGTCAGATATACAAACATTCACGCCTTCCTCAATACAAGTGCATACACAATCGCTCACAACTGTAGAAACATGCACACACATACACAGACACGCATTCCAGGTGTTGTTTATTGTAATCAGTTGTCACATCTTCTCTGAGAAACACCTTTGAAAAACACCCTCACCCCGTATGGCCGGCGTCCTATTGGAAGAGAACATTTTTGACGGAAAACCTCTTCGGCTGTCTTACAATAGAAAACAGCTTTATGATTGTTGATAAAATTATAGATCAGCTGCCAGCTCTCCACTTTTTAGATGCAGCCCTTTCTCTGTCCATTTACATGCTGACACACAAAATCAGACTTCCAATTATGGCACAAAAAAGTCTGTTAATGCAATTCTCATTTGCATTGTAGATTCTGTTGGTGATCAGGGCTCCATCTGAATGACATCAAAGTGTCTTGAAAGGAAATCCAAGGTGCTTGTGGCTGCTATAATTAGCCATAGATTGGTAACAAAAAGGTTTTCAAGGACTGTTATTAATTAAGAAAACATTTTAACATATTTTACTAGCAAGTTGTTAAGTCTTCAGCAATGGCCACCTTGATGTAACTAAATATAATGTAATCTTACATTGTTCAGTAGCACATGAATAAACCTGAATAAAGCTCTAGCACAGCAGAGTTTGCTTTTGCTCAAAAAAGCAAATCGACTTCCATTTCCTTAAAATGATTCTGAGTTGATTGGAGATGATTAGACCTCAATCTATAATTACATTTTTAAGAAAAGCCAACAAAAAGAAGTGTCACTCAGTGTCAGCAGCAAATTCAGCATGAAATAAATGACATGGAATAAAAGGTCTGAAGTGCTGCTGTTAAACATGTTAGGACATATTTAATTGAATGCTAATGACTGCTTGTTGCTTTTTAATGTATGCTAATTGTGCTGCATTTCCTCCACGTGGAGCAATGTACTGTACATCCATTTGGACCAAAGTCATGAATAATATGTATGTTTTCTGATTTACATTAAGTATTCTCTTGTATCTACGCTTATTCTGTCATTGTGACTCTGTTATATGTCCGTTCTTGAGTTCAGCTTTAACATTCTTGTACAATAAAATACAGTTGCCATTAGATGTATGGTTAAGCCATTTCAAATCAAGAATGTTGTGGTGAAAATGACAAGCAGTGATTATTTGACCGTTTCTCAGGGTTATGTGCAGTTTTACTTCTAACTTATGAACAGAGGTGATAATGTAATGGAACCATTAATTATATAATTTATTTTGTTGGTGCCAATCATGCATTATCCAGCAAACAGATATGTAAACATTGTAGAGCGCCTGTAGAACTTCATATTGGCTGAATAAATGCTTCACATTTGCACAGGAAATCATCTGGAAACAATGTGTTTCCTTCTTGTCAACAATTTAAAAAACTTGACTTCTTGACTTTCTGGTTAATATTCTGAGTAAATTATTAGATTCTATTTAGTAAATTAAAAACAATTGTCTATTGTAGAATTGTCAGGCAGATCAAGGAGTATTTACTCTAGTACTGGTTAATAGTATAGTTGATAGGATATAATCAGAATTTAAAATTAGGTCTCCGGTTAACACAAGCTCAGCTCAGCTTTCAGATTTTAGTCTATGACATAAAGTACATCAAAAATTTGGTACAGACACACATTTCATACGAAATTAATTGTCATGAATTTGGTGATCTCTTTACTTTTTAGTCATCAGACCAAAATTTTACTGTTTTCAAAGCTTGGTTTGTGACCAACCTACTGCAAAACTAATGACACTGCCAATCATCCATGCAAAACAGTCCTATGGTGCCCAATGGAAACCTTCATTAAATAAGTCCCCATTGTTGATTTTCAGCAACCATGACTCACCATTCCTGATCAGAAGATCTGCCCACATTGTACTTGGTGATAATGACCTTACAATGATGAGTCCAAACTCCATTGTTGTCTATTTAGCACTGAATTAACTGTAGCTCTGAAAATCATGCACCATACAGGAGGCTTTTACATCACTCAGTGCCAGGTTGAGCTTAATAAAGGCTGCAAGAAACAGCAAGTAGACAGGATGTGGGAGGTGTTACGCATTTACCTTGTACAGATGCAGAATAATCAGTAGAATAGTGGTAAGTTGTGCCAATAATTTTCAGATGTCTGCAGAACATTAAGTAGATGTAACAGTTCTCAAACTGGGAAGAGATAGAAAAACATCCAATCAGTTTAGAAATTGCATCATTATTTTATCAAAATAAAAAAGCTAAAGGCCTGACTTTGCGTAGCGTTCACACCAACATCAAAAATGCAATTACAAGTGCTCTGACTTGGCATTTCAAATAATACTAAAAGCGTCTGGAGGTGAAGGCGAGCGCATGAAAGATATTAAATCACTTTTTACATGTACAAATAAGCGCAACAATATAAATGCCTACCAGCGGTGACCTGCCTCTAAGTGTATACCTTTATGCCCTTTTAAACTATTATTATGTCTCACCTCTTGGCCAGATTTTGGCACTTCTTTTTGGCTGTGGACTTCCTATGTGAATTAGATTCTTGTCTAATCTTACATTCAATACAATCACTGTCTTGGTTGTACAGAAAAATTACCCACTATATGAAGCATTGAGCAATAGCTTTGTTTATTTACTAATTGTGTCACATGATCAGAGAAAACAGATTTATGTAAGGTTGGACTGAAGAGAGAAAAGAAACTGAACATGAAAAAATCAGCG